CAGGCTCATTGAATGAAGCCCAGCGTGGTGGATGTTTTCTGCCTCCATGTTTCTCACAGCTTTTCTCAAGTCATTTCATTCATAGAGCATCTATGCAGGCTGCCTTCGAATCCCATTCTACTGCACTCTCTGCTGAGTTCATACAGCATTTACAAATACACATACTTTAAGAGGATTATCTTTCATAAATGTCTATGATAAGCTGTGGTGGATTGCAGGAAGAATATGATGTGCATAAGTTTTTTTTCCTGTTTTTTCCACATTACAGACTGTTACTTTGGGGTTTTTTTCTGTATGGCTTTACTTTCATCCACATTTCTGTAGAGCACTTATACATACATGTGTTTGATTTTAAGCTTTAGAATTGAAAGAAAGTCACTTATACATGAGCACCTTTTCAATAATACCTCACAGAATCCAGTGGGACCACCGCTGCCTTTACCTCACACTGTGCTGGGGAGTGCTCCTACCATATTACATGGGATGACTCCTGCACTTAAACGATCTGCTGAATTTAGCTTAAGTGCTCTTCCCTGTAATCCTCTTGAGTTTAATATTTGACACTGGAAAATCCTGTCTTTTATTTCATGTGGCAAATTGGCCACGTGCTTAATTACCTTTCAGTTTGTTGTCATCTGCCTAACCTGATTTGCCCATACTTCTCATCCTCTTATATGTTGTGTCATCTAGAGATAAATGAGGACCTTTTTTGTAATGCAGTTTCAGTTCTTCAGCTAGCATTGCTTTAGCAAGACTGGAGGAAGAACTGAAATTTTTGAAGCTAGCAGGAATTTTGCTTTTCTAAAACCAGCTAAATTTTGGCTGTGAGATTCATTCCGTGGGTAGCTTTAGAAAACACATAAATCTTTCATAAGTTTATGTTTTCTCCTATTTTTAATACCCCAGATCTGTCACATACATTGTTGACTCAAAACATGTAGCAAGTACCAAGTAATCAAAGCCAGAGGTGATTTATAATCCTCATGTAGACTGCAATAGGGATAGATAAAGAGTGTATTTGAAAAGTTAGAATTTGGGGGCGGGGAAGAGGTTGGAGGTGACATGAAAGTTGTTCAGAAGGCATGGTGAGGCATTAATTGTTGAATCCGCAGGAGACTAGAGAGGCTTCATTAACATTTCTCAGTTTATGCGAAGGAATGCAATTTCAAAGTCATTGCATAAATTCAGTTTAAAATGTTAAATTGAAAGCAATAATACATTCCAAGAGGTTTTGTGCAAAATATACCAAATTGATGTATTGAAGTTACATGAATTAAGAGAGAACATTGAAGGGAAATTGAAAAAAGCAGCACTGTGCCCAAGTAGGTGAGTAACTGTTACAGTAAATGTGTGTAATATTTTATTATTTAAATATGAACTTAAATTTAAGATCAGACCTTTCAGTGTGACCATCAGCAGTAGATATTAGTCAAAAGTAAACCAACAAAAGTAACCTGATGTAAATGGAGCATTACCCTCTATAATAGACAATAATTCCCAGTAGGACTGCCCTGAATAATTGGGGGAAGATTATCATAGATTTTCCTTTCGTTTTAGCATCTAGCTCATAGTGCTGTCTAAGCATCATTAGATATAGTTAATAATTTCTTACACTTCGATCGTACAAGAAGGGGTTTGGTTTTAGTCATCCATTGTTTTAATCATTACTGCTGCATTTGAAGAACCTCACGGATACGTCACTATTATGTAAAACATTAAAAGAACATATTCACCAAGCAACAAATACCATTTAATAAATCCTCTCTCTTACATATTCCAGCATTATAATGATGTTCCTTTTATGTTTCTTTCAAACTAATCTTCACCTACAGTTGCAAATTCTTGTTAAATGATCTTTTTTCTGAAAGCCTGAGCAATTGGGGGAGCTCCCTAGTCATTGCTTTCAGGTTAAAAGCAAGACTCTAAAGAGGCTTCACAGAGAAGATGTTCAAAAGACCTGTACATCAGGCAACACCTTCTGCCCACATTAAACAAATACTGTCTATACATTGCTCCATTTGTGTTACTAGAATCTTATTACTGTAGTATTAAACCCTTATGAGCTACATTGTTTTAGTTAATGCTAAGCCAAGGCTTGCTTAAGCTCTGGTGTATTGCTTGTTCAGTATTTACAAATAACACTTCACATGCTTGTTTCATGTTCCACATTGTAGGACAGATAATGTGCAACTGCTGGTAGGAATCTGAGTGCTGGAGATGGTGGCTCTGGAGTTTGGTTATTAAATATATAGTGATATATAGATCCCTGTTATTCTTGGACTGCTGTACATGGCTTTCATCGATTGTCAGATAGACCTGACATTTAGTGAAAGAGGTCTTGCTTGTTGGTTTTTAGCTAATAAATTGCTATCCATTTTCACAGGCAGTGGGGGAATCCTCGTTCTCTTAAACATCCAAGTCTTTGATGTAAGAGCCACATCTCGTAATAATTTGTGTAAACTCTAGGGCTGTGCAATCCCAGTACTGAGTGGGTTGAAGTCCTGATATTGTAGTTATATGTCACTAGGCATAATAAAAATATTATAATGCAATTAATGTAGGGGGAAAACATGATCCTAATTTAAACCTACTTGTTAGCACTAGCATTGACCTTCTCAGTAGAAGAATTATTGTGGACATTAAAAGGTGGAAGTAACTACTGTCGTCTTCAGTAAGTAGAGTGCAGACTGTAGAAATAAAGCTGTCATTAACTTTACATAGATTAGAAAGCATCCACACAATCCCTGAATAATGGTCACCAGCAGAAAGCTGACATCTGAGAATCCAGTGCCTACTAGATTTGTTATTCAGTCCTTCCATTTTGTCAATCTGATAATGAAATGTTTCTTGTCTTTGCAAGACTGCTTTGCCTAAAGTGGCAGAAGAAATTTCAGAAGAAGCATGCACCTCATATGAGTTGTCTTCTGAAGTAAATTCTGTGTACTTAAGATTTATGAGTGACTTAAAATATGAACACATAATATTCCCAAAGTACATGCTATGGGCATACATTATCCTAACTGTTTTCCTCAGCAAGGGTTCTTCCTTTTTCTGAAGGGTGATGCTAAATAAAGTCTAGTCTTCACAGTGATAATCAGAGAAATTAATATACTTTTTGAGCTGGATTAGTTAAACTGCACTGAACTGTGGGTAGGTTCTCATTCACAGTCAAAATAGCTTTGTTCAGTGTAGCCTATTTAACTTTCAAAGTAAATTAAAGCAAATGGAATGAAAACTGCTTCAATTCAGTAAAGTATGTCTACACATAGGTTCAGTGTAATTTTACCAATCTACACTGAAGTTACAGCTTAAATTCAGAATTAGTTTGCCTTAAAAGCCTGAGAATAGAAGTAGGAGTAGGCTGGGGAGATTTTACTAGCTGGACACTGAACCCGCCCACCTTAGATGTTTGAAAACATGGACAAATGGCACTTCTTTTTTTTTCTTTCCTCTTTCTTTTTCTGATCTGAGATCTCTCAAACAATCAAAGCACATCTCTGGGGAAAAAAAAAATTCTACTTCAGACATAGCATATCCAAGTTTCCGTACTACATTCCCCGGTATAAATTTGCTTAGCAGGCAAATTTATTATAGAAGAAGTTTATGCCTTCTTAAGCAAGGTGGGATTGGTAAGGCAAAGGGAACATTCTGTGTAAGACAAACTGGTACATGTTGGGGAAATAAAGGCAAGGAATAAGTGGGAAAGCTAATTGTAAATTACCACTACAGATACTGAATGGAGAGTTCTGTGCCACTTAAGGAGCAGCGTGTGGTTTGTGTACCTTAGTCACTTGGGCACTTTTGGAAAAAACTCAAAACAGCTGTGGTACTTGTTTGAGCAAAGCCAAATTGCTACTATTCTGTATTCTGCCCATCACTAATTTATATTAATATTCTACATCCATTTAAGAGGAAAAGATGTGCCTGAAAAGTTGTGTCCTTGAATGTAATTGACTGTGAGTGTTCCGTAATTTACAGTAATACAAGATACTGTTGATGTATCTCAGGATATCTTCTCACCAGCCAGTCAAGATTTTTTAACTCTGAGCTGCTGGGAATGATATCATTAATCTAACTAGGTGACTCCAATATGATGGGTAATCCTGTGTGATGAAGAGCTGCTGCAGTCCTTTGAGATAGGTGGCAAGAGCGTTCTGTGCAGGGTAATAGAGTGTCTGGAAAGGAGTAGTAATGATACAGCTGAGAAGTAGCAGGTGTGAAGAATAGCTTTTCTAAAACATAAGCTTAGTCAGAGCTCTGCAGGTGCAGTTGTCAGTTCTTTTATATTTCCTAATTAAAATTCTGTGATTTGGTGAAGGATTCACTATGGCTCTTGGGCATTTACTTGTACAGCAAAACAGAGGAGAAACTGGTTGCAAGCTATCTGTATGACTGGTGTAGCATTTCCAAACCCAGAATATCCTACACAAAAAAATTATACCTTCAGTTCATCATTTTGCCCACACAGGAAGACAAAGACTATGGAATCTGTGTCTACTGTCATAGTTACCTGGTCACAGGTATCACTGCCCTCACATAAATCCTCTCTGTAGACAGGTGAGCTGATGTTGTAAACATGTAGTGCGTCCTTGTTTACATATAGGGAAAGCAAGAGTGGTAAAAATCCCAGTTTATCCCAGTGTGTGAGAGTTTGTTCTTCTGAGACTACAAAACTGGCTGATCTCTGTGACCTCATTGGTCACGACGACTTTGATCTAAAGGCCATGTCCCTTTTGGCCTCAGTAAGATAAAGCATATGAGCAGACCCTGTTCATAAAAATAAAGACTGCAGGATCAGAACTTCAGAGGCAAGCTTTTTATCAAAGGGGGAAACCTCACCACATTTACATGAAAAGGGATTTTGCCAGGCTTTCATGCAGTGCCCTCAATGTGAGTCCAATTGCCATGTGAGTCTCTAATATCTTGGAAGCCACATCATTGCTGTATTTTGCTGATCTGGGATTGTTAACAATGTCCTCATTCTACATTATTTGTTTCAGATCACCAGACTAGCTCTGACATTAACTTGTCAGATGTCAGGGGAGCGTCAGAAAAAGCAGACCTCAGTTTTAAAACAAAGGTGCTTTCTGAAACATTAGAAACTAACGAGCAGTCGATTCTGGTGCTTCCGGGAAGAATATCATGTGAGGTAAGGTTTTTGGATGCTAAAATCTTTGGGATAAGTCAATGTTCTTCTCTTCCTGCTGCAATCTCATTCATACTATAACAGTTTTGAAATCGAACAGCAGATAAAGGGCCAAAATGAGAGTGCCTCGAGACTGCAGTAGATTTGTTTTGCCTTTGTGTCACATCGACACTGCAGCCAAAAGGTTTACAAATAAAATAGTTTTGAGAGAGCCTCTGAAGGATTTTATCTCTATTAGATTTATTTGGCTTCTAGGGCAGAGATACTACTGTTATGTGTACCTTGTAGTTTAGAGGGAGCATGTAGTCAGGCACCTCTTGAGAGGTATGGAGTGTCTCTTGGCAAGAATCTTGTCAAGGGTACATGCATATGTGTCCATACCACATGAGTTACACAAGTCCTTGTGAGAGCATATACCTTGTCTATTTTTAATTAAATGAGAAATACTTATATGTATGTATATATCTACATAGGTATCTGATGGACACAAATGTTCATGTTTCTTTTTAATCAGAGATAAAAGAGAGGAAGTACAATATCCAGCACTGTATTACTTGTATCAGTGAGTGGCCATGGTTAGATATGGAGGTTGGGGTGTGCCAGGAATGTCACATATTTGGCTTGCTATCTGTCTTTCCAAGATGACTTACACACATTATTAAGATCAGTACAGTTCTAAGGGAGTAACATTCCCTCTGGGTCAGAAGGCAGTAGAGATATTGTCTCACATTACCTGCTGCTTCTGTCTACTGTCAGTTCACTGTAAGAGTTTGAGTGAGTCTAATGTATTTTTGGTTCTTACTGGGTTGAATGTCATTCTTCTAGACTGTAAGGTAGAATGGTCTTAGAAAATGTAACATTTCTCCTACATATGCATTTAAAATACTGTTTTAAAATATTGTTAGGTAAGCCAAGCTTAAAATACTACTACGTTAATTGTGTATTTTATATCAATAAAATACTGAGATGGCATCATGTTTTGAAATTATGATTTTTTTTTGTATGAAGCTGTTGGTAAAGGAACTTTCCTTTTAACTTATGGTTTCATTTGCATTTCATACTTTCAGTATAATTTTCTGAAGAACTAACGGGAATATATTTTAATTTTATAGAACCCTGGTGAAATATTCGTTTTGTTGAAAGATGAAATAGATGATGAAACTTTAGAAATTGAATTCATAGCAGATAATCAACGAATTAGGACACAGCCAACCTCTTGGAATAACAAGGTCAAGTACATGAAAGCCTTAGGTAAGAAAAACATTCTTTACCGTTAAGTAAACAGAAAATTTTGGACTTCCTTCACTTTTGCTAACAAGTAGTTTCACTTCCCACTATTTTGAAGGTTTTCCTGTGCATGGGTTTTGCACACAGAACATTTATTAATAATGCAGAGAAGCAAGGCCATGTGATTTATGAGAAACTATGTTCTATTAGATTGTTTTTGTGTGGTTAAATGGCAGGTGGCAGTCTTAAAATGTCATTGATTAATCACAGATTAAAATCACTGCCATAAAATGCAAAGCTAATATTATTTTCTTATTACTCTATTACTAAAATGCTTCATTTTATATTTAATGCAGTAAATTTGGTTATACTGCTCTCTGTAATTCTTACTGACACTTTTTTTGTTCATGTCCATGCCTTTTCTCTGTATCACTCAGCTCTGCTGATTTCTAATGATTTTTTTCAACTGCTCCATCCATAACTAGTTGCCAACAGTTTCAAACCCCTCAGTAGAAGAACGCGAGTACAAGCCCCTCAGTACAAGAAGGACATTGAGGGGCTGGAGTGTGTCCGAAGAAGAGCAACGAGGCTGGTGAAGGGTCTAGAGCACAAGTCTTATGAGGAGCAGCTGAGGGAACTGTGATTATTTAGTTTGGAGAAGAGGAGGCTGGGGGGAGCCATATCACCCTCTGCAACTACCTGAAAGGAAGTTGTAGTAGGTGGGTGTTGGTCTCTTCTCCCAAGTAACTAGCAGTGGGACGAGAGTAAATGGCCTCAGGTTGTGTCAGGGGAGGTTTAGATTGGGTATCAGGAAAAATTTCTTTACTGGAAGAGTGGTCAGGCATTGGACCAGGCTGCCCAGGGAAGTGCTGGAGTCACCATTCCCGGAGATGTTAAAAAAACGTGTAGGTGTGGCACTTGAGGACATGGTTTAGCAGGCATGGTGGTGTTGGTCTTGATGATCTTTGAGGTCTTTTCCAACCTTAAGGATTCTATGATTCTATGAACAGTTTCTTTGAGATTTGTGTAGATTTAAGGGCCACATCCATCCCCACTCATTTTAAGTGAGTTAAGAATTAAAAAAGAATTAAAAAATTTTTCACCCAAGTATTCAAAGTGTAGCTGCATGCTGTGAATTCCCAAAGGAACTTGTATAATATTTTATTCTAAAACCATTGCAATACAACATTAGGTAGGAAAAAATATATAGGCTACAATTTTCAACAGTGGCTTCTTGGAACTACGGTTGGGTAATTCTGTGGCCAGACTATCACCCTGAACACTATCTCAGACTATCATCCTGAGACGATGGCCGCATATGGCCTGAGAGTCGTTTGTCTCTGTGATGGTGCAGAGAGATTGGTTTTACAGACTTGGCTGGGAAGTGCATGACCAACAGGAAACTTTCATCTGTAACTGGAGAGGAGGAAAGCTGAAAGCCTCATTCAGAGATCTTAAAAGATTTTTCCAGAATTATTCTGTGAGAACATTGTTGATCACAGGAAGGTTTCTGTAGTGGATGAAGAAATAAAATATAAACAGTAAATGAAATATTATGAAAAATTTGGCGGAGCGCTGCAGCCCAAGTTTGATTTTGTTTCTTATATCATTTGTACTTAATGCTTCTCTTTGTAGGCTTTTTTTCTGTTTCAAAATCTGGAAAAGTTGGAAGTTTGGGTGTAACCTTTCTTAATAAGGGTCCAGCTGATGTAATGTTATAAGAAAAATGGGATTTTTTTAAACATTTGGACAGTTTCCATTTAAGTGATTTAAGGTGATGTTCTATTCATTTAGTTTCTTTGGCCCTATTACTTTTCTCCATTTTCAGGGTTGCCCATTTTTATTGCTTGTTTGTGGGCAGAGTTAGAAAAGAAAACCATGCTAGTGCTGGTATGGTACAGCAGGATGCCTGGCACAATGAATACTAATGAATTATAAAATGTGCTCATGAAGAGGGCTCATGCTGCATACACAGAGCAAGTCATACTCAAGTAACAGACTGTACAAACGCCTCTTTCCTTTGCTTTTACTAGGTAAACAACTGGAATGGAAGTAATTGTACTGCAATTTCTGCAGCCTAGTTCAAATCCAATTTTGAGAACCTTGCCTGCAATTAAGAAAAATGTTTCAAAAGATGAATAGCAATTCCCCTATTTGTAAAAAATGAACTTTTCCTTAATTTGTAGGCATTCGGGAGCTGATTATAGGTCATCAGTTTGTCAAAGGGAGGCTGGAAATTTGAAGCGTACTGTTTTCACCTCCTTTCTAACATGAAGCAATACAATAGCTTTGTTTTATACAGATATACAGATAGGTATTTTCTTTTGTAAGCTTTTTAATGTTAGACTGTAAGACCTGGACAAAATGACTACACTGAATCATCTGTGAAAAGCAAATCCAGTTTATCAACTCTGTGCATTCTCTGAGATATTTTCCTGTTCTATTACTCATTCCCCAGCACCTCTGGTCTGGGATTGTAAAATATTTTCAGCTACTGTTCTGATTTGTGTTTTAAAAGATTTTCCTGCTGGCCCTGTATATGTAAATGTCTACTGTGGGGGAGTCATTAAGACCACAGCGCAGATTGAGTATTATACCGCACTAGAAGAGATTGAGCACATTTTTAAGAAAGTGGCTGACCCAATAGCTTTCACTTGTCAGGTAAGTTGACTTCTGCATTTTTAATAAAAACAAAAAATAGAATATAAGTGCCAATATGAGCTAAGAGATAATACACTGTGTTGTAAAGACTTCTTTTGATTGCACAGTATTGAGTAAGGGCTCAGTAATAGGGTCAGGATTACAGAGGCCTGTGTTTGAGATTTCTAGATGTAAGCAAGTCACTCAAGTGAGAACAAATTTTCTCTCTTTTTCGTTTTTGTTTGGAGTGTGATATAAACATGTTCTCTGCTGTATATGCCCAATGAACAACATCCTGCATTACAGAGGATAAAAATAATAACAAACAGTAGCAATGTCCCTCTCCGTTGAAAGTGGTCTTTTTAGTATGCTCTAAAACCAATAGTAGCAAGTAATCGTAAGTCACATTGTATTTGGAGGATTATTGTTTATTCACCAGCAAACGGGACTTTTCTGGTATAGCTTGTATGGAAGACAGTAGGTTGCTATTCATATAGAGTCCATTTACAGCTGCTGAATTATCCTTCATGTGGTTTGCTGGTTGCCATACAGATTCTTTGCATACATTTAGAAGAATTCAGGATTTGAACTGGGTTTCAAATCAGCACAGCAGGCTGCAGTGCTCTGCAGCATGTCCTTTGCCAATGGCATACACAAAATAACAAGAAAAGAAAGCATCTGTTAAGAAAGGACGGAATCTTAGGTATCATTTGTTGAATGGTGGGTAGCCCAAACAGACTTGTCATGATGTCTATATTGTAATTGCAAAGCCAGAACAAAAATAATAGTCTGTGTTTCCAGTGCAGACAGTCTCATTTTCCTGTGACAAATCTACCTTATCTACCACCTAAGGCATTACACTGGTAACAAAAGGATTAATAAAAAATGATGTATGGCATCATTAGTGTTCTACTAAGGATGGGAGTAGATTCTGTCCAAGTACAAGTCACTTCTGTTCTAATAAAACAGGCTGCTGCACAAGAAAAATAGTGCAACTCTGAGTACAAGTGCATTTTTAAAATCTTTATAGTATCCATCATTCTTTAGCCTGTATTTTGAAGGATATGGAAGTGAGCGTCCAGAAGGTTTTGCTGAAGATTTTATGCATAAGAAGTTTGTCATAATGATTAAAAAAATTGTAATTTACATGGTTACCTAGATACCTACAACACACCTCATATTTCCACTGGAGAATTATTTGTGTTATTCAGGAGTTTGACCCTTCATTTAACCAGCATGACTAACATTTAGTAAGACATACGCAGTTCAAATTATATTCAAATGCAAAAATAATTCTGTGCAGAGCAGTAGTGCACACCAGGAAATACAGCTGTAGTGTTATGACTGTCAGGTACGTTTAACAATTTCCTCACCTTTACTCATCTGGATAATAAGCAAGGGTTTAAATGAGGAGACGCTGTTTGCCTGCTCTTAATTTTATTGTTTTGGCAATTGAAAAATAAATCCCAAGACAATTTTTATAATAGGGTAGGTTTTACAATCCACGCAGTATCGTGGCTGCTCTGTGGGAAAGTATGCTAATGGGAATTCTTTTGTAAGTGTACATATGTTTTAGAAGATTTGTCATCATATTTAATGGTACCTGCTGGGTCACGGAGTGAGGTACACTAGCTAGCTAGGTAGCTAAACTATCTCCACAAACTTTTTAAATACTTTAAGCTCTCATGTAAACCTGATATAATGGCAACAGGATACAGTGTAAAGATGCAATTTACAGAACATAATTTAACTTAATCTTTAAAAATATGTTCACACAAGGAAAAACAAAACAGACTTGATACTAATTAGAATTCCTATCAAGTAGCAGGAGTAGTAGTAACTTTTGTTTAACCAGGATAATTAAAACCTATGAGACTATCAGCTTATTTGCAGAAGTATCCTGGGGCAACAGTGGTTTATCTATGCAAAACAACAATCTAACACAATGGAAAACAAAATTAAAATAAAATAGAAAAACTTACAGCAATTATTGATCAAAGCAATATCACTCTGTTGTTCAAAGAAAAGTTCAAGATTTTCACAAATGCTTGCAATCTGAGAAGTATCTCTGTAGTAAAATTCTATGATGAAAGCAAATTGCTACAGTGAAGCATACCAAAGACACAATATTTTAAATGTAAGGAAATAAATAGAGTAAAAAATGAAATCACTTTCTTTACATAAGTTTTGAAAGAAAAAAACCCTGAAATTTTGTAGTAAAGTAGGAAGAGTTGGAATCACAACAACAGAATCACAATGCTGAATGAACTTGCTATCAGAATATGTGAGGGTGGGCATTGGCTAAAGGCCATGAATTTTTTTGTCCTCTCACTTTCATATAATTCTGCATTAAAGAAACTCCCTTAGGGAGTTTGTGTTCTTACAATATTCTAGTGTGCAGACTGATTTTAAGGTTCATATAATTAATAATTAAACTTTTTCTTATTTCATTTTTTACTGTTCATCAACTTCTCATTTCAACATTCTGCTAGATTTACATGCTGTATTGATTTTTCTCTCAGTTTCTACCAAATGCAACTATTGATTCAATTAGTTAGTGTTGGGGTTTCCTGGTAAAGATTTCTTAGGTTTTTTTAAAAAATTGAAACTAAGGTCATATCATTGAAATTGGCAGGTTCGTGTTAGTTTGAGTGACTTAGAATATCTAGAAAGATTCAGGAAGTCTTTATGACAAACTTTGGTTGAATAGTACTTCTGTGATTCTGAGAGACTCAGTGTCTTAAAGGATGTTTTTATCATAGTCATCAAACAGCATTCCAGTTACAGTGTATATTGAAAAAGAAGAATGAAAATAAACTGCAGCCTTTTCTATGAAAACTTGTAAGAAATAGCTGTATGACTTGTGTGGTGATACTATATATGTGCCTTTACCTGATCCCCAGAGATACTTCCTTTGGAAATGTTTTTAATATTTCAATCTTTTAAGCCACCTCAGCAGCTGTTTTTTAAAAATGTTTCTTTGTTTTCCTCTAAGTATGAAATCTCTCAATTTCCTATCATTGGCTAAAATTTTCAGAAATGCCAAAGTGATTTTTAAGCCTAGCCCATTCTCTTTGACAGAAGTAATCTAGACATTGAAGCACATATAAAGTAGTGCCTGATATATAAGAACTACTGAAGAAGTTCATCTTTATGTAAATATAACCTTGTTAGTACTGCTAAGGCCAGTGAGAAATATGTTAATTTACCGGCTGTGTATGCTGTGTTTCAGTGGCACACATTTTCAGGGCATTCTTAGCAGTTATTAAAGAATGTAGGTCATCTCATTCACAAAAGCAGCAAAATATGTGCTTGGTCTTTTCCTTTTTCAAGGATGTTTTTGGAAGCCCAGTTGTGATGATTAGGATCTGGGGCTCCTCTGTTGTTCACAGCTGTGTCCTATTGCTCTGAAAAGGGGGTGAGGGAGTGGAGATAGTGCCTACACCTGGGGAGGTGGTACTGGGCAAGGACAAACTGCTGGTGATGAGCCCTGGAGCAGGTAGCAGCACTTGCAGAAGGTCCAAGATTGAAGAGTAGAGCAGAGAGCAGCTGGGTGTGCTTCAGCGATCATGGGAAGAATAGCCTACAGACTCTCTGGCCTAATTCTGAGTGGCTTCTGGAAAGAAGAACTCACCTGCAAGGGCACAGGGAGAAAGCAGTACTTTCACTGATTTTCTGTCACATTTTAAATCTGTATTCTGATGAAATGTGGGCTTACTGAAACTGTTGACTGGCTCAATGTTCCCATGCAGTGTGCTTTACTGTAAATACAGTTCTACTTCTTCTGGCTTTGGTGAAGCTTCAGCATGAACTTTAGGTGTGTACTGTGGGGATTTCTTTGGAAGATTTCATGGACCTATAGAGACCTGTGTAGTGTATATCAAAATGTGTAAATGCAGCATACTTGGAGACTGTGAGTGCTCCGGAGCAGGCACGGGCAGTAAAGTAAAAGTCTCTAAACCGAATTCCTGCTTAGGGGAGGTGACCTTGCTGTTGGTATGGAGCTGGATAGTGCAGAGTGGTCCTATTGCTAGTTTTGTTTCACTATTATTTCTGCTGTTATCTTCACAGAAGTACTGGAACAGGCTCTCCTGTATGTGAGATAAAAGACATTAACATAGACTTTTCTTTAAAAAAAAAAACTAAACTAGGTTTTCCCACTGTGTGTTTGTTGTAGAGTAGCAGAAGAAAGATGCTTATTATGATTTAGTTAACAAGACAGCTTGTTAAATCATTGCTTGAGCCTTCAGATTTTAGATCCCAGGAGTAAGAGAAAAAAATTGAGGTGGAAAACTTGAAGCAAATTGTACTGCTAACTCTGTGTAAGAAGTGTATTATACCTGAAATGGAAATCATAGAAATGGATAGGCTGGTCATCGGAAGGCAGGCCTGTTAAAGCATGAGAAATTTATCTCTAATTTAATCTAATTTTATCTCTTCTGATAGATATTTGGGAGGATTTGCATATCCTTTCTCAACTGAAGTCTGGTGCTCAGGTTAGATCTTTATTTTAGAACAAGCCTTAAAGATTTTAATTTTTTTAGGAGGAGTCTTTTTTAATGCTTATTTGGTTAGTGAGGGCTAAATTAAGTATTGATAATTATTTAATAACAATTATAAAGATTGTAATATGACAGTACAGAAAGGGTGAATTATGGAAAGAAATAGGTCACAAGTTACTAAATATAATGAGGTTTGTGCATCATAATCAATATTGGAAGCACCAGTATTAATCATATTTTATTACTGGTATCTCCCTACCTGCAGAAACTAGCCTTCAAATTCTGGGTTGTTCCTGTAGGACTTAGATGAAAATAATATCCTGCCTGTGTGCTCAAAATTTTCTGATCACGTCATACTTATTTCCTTATTCACTTCTAACAGCCTTGGGAATTAAACTTCATGTTTCATCAGTAGACCCCTCTGTCCCTTTCTCTTCAGCATGTCAGTCATGGTTTCTTTTTAAGTTTATATGCTAAGTGTGTCTGCAGATATTCCCTGTTAGTGATCCCAGAATTGTCTTGACCAGAAACAATTCAGCTATGGGAAGGCAAACTTTAACACAGGGCTGCTGACATCTGAGCAGAGCAAACCAACTCCTCCAGTGTGCTCCTCTGCTGTGGCTGAGCATCTTTTGGTGCCAGTGCAGCAGAGACTGGACTAGCACCATAACACTCAGAATATCCTTACTATTCAGATCTCTGTAGTCATGCTTCTCTTGTCACACCAAACAAAGAAACCCTTAATTAAGCCTACCTTGAAAGTCATTAGGAATAGATTTTAGCTTTCTGTTCAGAAAGAGACAATCAAAAAAAGATCTTATGGCAGTCATTGAGGGTTTCCCTTGTCTAAAAACTATGTACTTAGTAGGAAGCTAGTCTAACCGGTTGCTATCAGTTTCTTAATCCATCAGCAATATTATGCCTTGGCTGATGGAACTGAAGCCGTTTGTTATGCAACAAAATACGCAATTTTAATGTAAAGGTTTTGAGTAACAGAGGATTACTGTGGTCTTTAAACTCACCCTGAACTACTGCTTTAGTAGGACCTTGGATTTATTGGCATCTTGTATCTGTCAGAATAGTTTATGGTTGTTACACTACATTGTTATAGCTAAATCGAGAGTCCTCCAGATGTTTAAAGTCATGGCTGAACTTTGTAAGTTATAATACCTGTTTCTCTTCAATTGGATTGTGTTATCGTGATCCTTGTATAGAAGAATATCTCTTCTGTAGCTTTCAAAAACTACGCTGCTCTTATTAAGAGTTAGTTGTTAATAATACTGTTTTAAATAATTTGATTCGCCAGCACTCTGAGCATGAAGTTAAAAATACATGTGTAACAAATGCACTAATTTTTTTTTTTTTTTCTTTTAAACAGGCTTTTAAATTTTCTTCTGTAGAGAAGCTGGACAGTGTTCTGACTTTGTTATTGAAAAGTAAAATATCTACTTATGAATTCATGTCATGCCAAAGTGAAGAAGAGAACCATCAACAAGCTAGTGAGTCACTTCTTGTATGCATTAATTTTTATTACTGGTGCTATGGTTATTACTTATAAATGTTAATAAGACAACCTTTAAATATTTAAAGCCACTAGTGAAATGCAGGAATCCACAATAAAGACAACATAACCAGGAAAAATGGGGAAAATAATTCTGTAAATTGTTACTTCGTGACTCAGTACAAGTGTTCATACTTGTCTGGATGTTTGATCAGCTTTGGATCAACTGCAAATCGACAGCTTTACAGCTGAGTAAATTTATACTTGTGTTGAAAACAGGTAATAAAAGACATGACAAGATGCCTGTACATTACGTATTTTTTACTAATTGCTCTTCTGCAATACAACTTAAACTTCACTTTCTCAAAGTTTGGTGACATAAAGAGAAAATCGGAAAGATTTCTCTATCTGAAGAGAACAGATGGCTTCTTAACTTAGAACAGCACTAAACTTCTCCATTCATTTAGTTCCTATGCACGTAATAGTTTCTACACTTCTGGCCAAAAGATAATTATATTATTTTTAATTTAATTTTAAAAAGGCATCGCAATGGGTTAAAATAGGATTTGTCCTTAAAGCAGATGCACTATATGCACAATTCCCATAGTGTGTCAACAAAAGCTACGGTTTAGTACCAAATGGAGGGTCCTGGTTGATTTCATTAATTGCTAGTTAAGAACTCAAATTGGTTTGCAATAAAGCAAGATTTTGATTATTTAATCTGTATTTTGAAAGCATCATTATAATGCTGTTTTCTGATGTGTGTTAGACCTCAGCTTTTCTAAGAAACTCTTGGGGAAAAATAAAATCCAAGAAAATGTTTTTCCTTTCTGAAATAATTAAGAAAAATGTGTTTGAGTTGTTGGTTGCTCCGGCTTTGTGTAGCTGGACTATGGTTTTGAGAGAAAATAAACTCACTACATCAAAGTAAAACATAACACTTGCTTTTTATAACCAAATATAACAAGTTTTGAAGGTAGCTCTACTATGATCACTATTGTGCTTCCTTTCCTTCTTGGTAAGGTTTCGTTGATGGAATTCACCTGTCTATACTAGATAAATGTGACCCACTTGTATTCAAAAACTTAGCTTAAATGTGAGTCTGGGTTAGTGGAAGCAAACAAGTCGGATGTTAAGTGAGGCAGTTCTCCTTGACGTTTTCCTGTGTAAGACTGCAGGACGGAGTTGTATAGGACAAATTAGAGTCATTTCCAATATGAAATGTTATTTTTGAGGAACAAAAGATTTTTCTGCTTCTCTACTAACCAGTTAGATCTGGGCATATTGTTGAATATTGAGAATAATGCTTACCAACCTGCAGTCCCCTCCCCAAAAGGCATGTATGATTCAAGAGCAAGCTGACTGCTTGTGAGCTTGAGCCAAGCAGTCACCTGCTTAAACTGAACTGGTTTAATGTTTGGTGCAACAGGGAAGTACAAAGTTAGATGCCTTCTTCATGAAAGAAAGATTCATGCTTTCTTCATGAAAGAAAGGTGTGGTTGCAGAGTTGGAAGCACTTGGAATGAGGCCTAGGCTCTGATCCCCCTTCTGCCTGAAACGTATGTAAACCCATGTCTTGGACTTCCTATAAGAGCATCCCAAACAGGCATTAGAGGTGTCGGGTCTAACAGTGCACTGGCAGCTCCTTGTTCAGCCATTTTTATGGCATTGTATTCCAAACACCATTTTTTTCTTCTACAGAGAAAGTATCAAAGAATGAAAACTAATTGAATACTCTTGGGAAGGATATGAAGCTATCAGACGAAAGGCTCTATAGCACTGAGATTAGTTATTCTTGTATCTCTGAACAGGCAGATGAATCAGCCCTGACTTCGTAATTTCTGTATTTGGTGCTTTTCCCTAATGGTCAAAATAGGCTGACTTATGCCAGAAATCCAGTTGTCTGTTTCCAGGGGGAACACATACACTTAGCATTGAGACATACTTGGGTGAAAGAGGCAGGAGAGTAAGTCAGAACACAGTTATACTTTTAACTTCTCAGTGACTTATCTATATGTGATTCTATAGAATTCCTGCCCACTTCCAAACTTTGATTCTAAAGGCTTCGAAGCCTACTGAACTCAACAAAGAGAGCCTCTGATAGACAGTATCAAATGCTTTGTTCATAAAGCTTTGAATATGTAATTTTCCTCCGAAAGCTGGAGTGAGTTTTTTGTGCATCTAGCATCCAATGGACTGTACTTAATCTTCTGACTTTCCAGTCTGAGTGTAATAGCTCTAGCTTTATAATAATACCTCTACCCAAAGGTAGATGCACTCCTTGGAAGCTAGATTCTTCCAAAATAATATGCATTCCTTTCAACCTAAACTGTAGAAAAAGTTTACGTATTTTTAAACCTTACTCTTTGGAAACTGTTTCATGACTCCAGTCATTGGTATGACTACAGGAGGTCAGTCTTGCAGCATGAGGCATAGATAAGAGAAACCTTTCTCTGTAGGATTTTACCTTGATGCTTTATTTTAACTTTATAGCTAGTACATCGGAGTACAGCTGATAAATTGCTGTACTTGAGAGTTCTCAATGTGAACAAATAATGAAAAACTCGTGATTAATTTTATTAGATAACTAATGAATTGCATGGTTTGACTTCTCACAAAGTGTACAGCTGTGTGATTAAAAACTTAGGAATGTAAAACTAAATATAAAATCTAATAGGAAAAATGCATGTGATGCTTGCCTATATTAACAATGGTTTAGATCAAGACATCGCCAGGTGCATGTTTGCCTACATAATTTTTCAAGAGCTGCTCCCCTCCCCAGAATAGCTGTTTAACAATTTTTTAGTATGATGAATACAGTACTTGCAAGAGGTTGGTGTCTAGGCTGGCAAAGTCAAGATAGATGGCAAAGGTGCAAAAGGTCAACTGATACCAATGCATCTTTTACAAATGTCTGAATAATCCTCTCAGCACTTCTTTGGTTCACTCTTCATTGGGTAATTTCAGATTGCCTAATTTAAAGCGATCTTATAACTGTCTTTGGATTTGCGGTGGAGAATCTGCATACAAAATAATTTTGTTGTTCTAGGTGATGAGAATGAAAGTATGTATGTGATATTACTGTATCTCTCACTGTGTGTTTCCTATCGTGCATATACATGATCATATTTATAGTATTTTTTCTTGCAAACCCTGAGGCTGTTTACTTGTCTTTCGGTTTCCATTTATTCAAATTAAATTGGCAACTTTGAGCACCTGATAACAGGCCTTATTAAGACAGTCTTTTCTGTTTGGCTTGTCTGTTATGCCTGGTCTATTGTATCAATATAACCAGGTCTCATAAATGGATGTGATTGCCTGTCTCTGTGCTAATATATGTATATGCAAGCTTTCCTGTAAGTAAGATGTGCTTAGGATACAATCATTCATTGTTATTTCACTGCGGTAGACTCAACTAGACTTTTTTCAATATTCCTGTTTCTTTTAGATACTAACTAAAAAAAGCAAGATGTCCTGACAAACTTACTATGTTACCATAATATCTAACACAACAACTTCCCCTGATTAGAATAGTTATATCTCTGGATAGAATGATTTCTGACAAGAGAAATTTTTCAAAAGATGCCATGGATCACAAATACATGTTCTGGAAGTTGGAATCTCTTGCTGTCTAAGCAAGGAGAATTGTTTGAGCAGCACATCAGACTTTGTGAAGTTCCTTGCAACATGGAAATCTAGGAGTATAGCTCTGCAAGCACTTTAACATGTGTGCAATATTCTTTCTCTATGGGATCTCACTTGTTGGACTACATGCAGGAAGGAAATTACATCTCTGCCTAAATGGAGGCAATGATGATGCTGTATCCTTACTTGTTGTTTGACCTCCTCTTGAGTTTGTCAGTATTAGTCAAAAGAAATTGGTTTAGGAAAGGCAGCAATTGGAAATGGTAAAAATAGAAATTTATGCTGAATTTTTTACAAACCATGGTTTGCAATGATAGCCATTGGAATGTATTTTGCCATGCATAAGATGAGTTTCGGTTGCTTGCTTTTGATGAAGTATCCTATTGTAATAGTTATTGTAGTAACCAAAAAGTAAATCGGGAGTCTCTACCAGAAGAAATATTGTTGGAACTGCTGTATATGTAAAAGCTTGTCAGAAATAAAGTGCACTGTGCCATTTTTTGTTTTAATTGCTGTTTTTGTTGTTGTATGGTAGGTTTTATGTAGTTCCAAAGAAGATAAAAGTAGCTGAACATTGTCAAAATATATTTAGGTTTGTGCATGGATGTTACCTACTAGCAGTATAGAAAAATTAAGATAAAGAATTTTATTCAGCTTGTCAAGGGGAAGAAAGTTTTAGTAGTGAGTGATATTTAAATAGATTATTCTGCAGTCTCCGAAGGGGAATACTGGAAGTCCAATCAGCTGAGAAAGCTAAACACAGACTGAATAGAAGCCACTGGAAAAAAATTGTGTTTAACAACAGCATTAACTGAAAGACAGATCCAAGGCGTGTCTGGGATTTTTAGTGGTAGTATCCTCTATCCCCTGTGGAAGCATGTAACTAAAGCTGGAGGTACTGTCCTGAATATTGTACATTCTGTAACGAGCTGATTTTAGGGTACCTTGTATGTATATTACTCCTTTATATTCTGGTAATAGAATCAAATCAAAACATACTAACAAATCCAAACTCATGTTTCAAAACTTTTCTCGAGCTTGGGAAGCTCTGATTCTGCTTTTGAATCCTCAAGTTTGAGAATTCTTGGTGCATTGATTCCTGTCCATGAGATGGCAACTTACTTGAGGAAAACCTCTTTCTTTTTCAACTATTAATGAGTTTTCCTTTCTTTACAAGTTATCTGTTACTACTGCTCTGATTAATAAACTCAAAACATTGAGGCTTATGAAAAGTTCTGAATTTACTTTTTATGTAGAAAGTACTGCTTTTCATCACCTAACGCTGCTCACAACATAACAAGTCCTATCCTAATTTCTCTATTTCTTTTTTTTTTTTCTTGCATGCTGAAGCAT